GTTGCTGAGCAGTACCTGTGCAGTATCCAGGCTCTCTATTGTTCCCACACTGCATCACTTGCTTTGGCTTTTTCCTTCCTCTTTCCTTTGCCTATTAAACTATCTCCATGCACAAGTTTTTTCACTTAGGCTTTTCTAATTCTCTTCCAGTCCTGCTGCAAGGGGCAGAGATGGAGCAGGTGTGTGTGTGGTGCTCAGCTGCTGGCCAGGGTCAGCCCCTCATGCTGCTGATTCGGGTTGACTCATCACTGTAATTGTACAGATTTTTTCCTCAGATGTCTTTTCTTTGCAAATATATTATTTTCTGCAGGCAAAAAGAGGAAGTTGAAGAAGCATTGAACACAAACAGTAGCTCACCAACCATTAATTTCTGTCCGTATCATACCAGGAATGTGTTATGTAGTATTGATGTAGAAATAAGTGGGTTATTGGATAGTTTAAAACCTTGGAAACAAAGTTAAAACTGAGAATGGTTGTGTATTTACAAGATATTAGTACAAATGTTTATGTACTAAAGACATTTTACTGTGATATTAATGTGCAGAAATTAATTAGAAAAAGGTCTGTGTTGAAAAAAGAAATTACTAATAATTTTAAATAAATATATCCGCATACATGCTTGCCCCATAAGGTAAATGAATATGTAAAATTGGTCCAAATGTTTTTCCTCATTGATTATCTTCTATCACTAGACATCTTTGCTGAGTGTGGTAGAAATAACCAAGCTCCAGGAAACAGATGAAACATAAAATGAATAGAAATAAATTATGAGTAAGTTTCCTATTTTCTTCTCAGTGAGGTGGGGTATTGACACGTTCCTGGCCGTGCTGCTGAATCTGAAGTCCTAGAGTACCTTAAGTGATGAGTCCTGGTATTTTTAAACTCTCGTAAGAGAATTTACATCTGCCTTTCAGATAATATCCGATTGAAATTTTAGAATTAAAAAAATAAAGTGGTTGTCCTCCCTCCAAACCCCACTCTTCCCCCCAAGGAGAGATTTGGTTTTGGTTACTGGAATAAAAGGATGATCTTTGCAGTGGAGAGACAATGCCAGCATTATCAGGTCAAGACTGTAGGAGGAAAATGAGTGAGAAAATGCCCCCTGTGGGAGAAGGGCAGAGTCTAAAGGCACCCATCACCTTGTGTGTCATTGTTGACTTTGATACTCGTGTGATGTGGAGATGAGATGCAGAACATCCCTCTGCTTTAACAGATCCCTTCATCACTGTGCAGTATCACTTCAGCGTGAGTACTCTTTGAATTTGTTGATCAAAATGTTCATTAGGAACCCTGCTATTAGACAAACACTTGTCTTTGGGGCTGAGGCGTCAGTTTAAAGGTTAACAATACACTGTGTGAAAACAAAACACTGTGAAAACAACTGCATCTTACCTAATAGAATTTTTCTAGGAGATGGCTGAATGCTGAGTATTGCTTGCTTTCAAAAAGAGACTTGGAAAGCTGTAATCACTTCTACGTGGAAAGCAAATCCAATGCTGGTTCACAAAGTAGCTCTTCCGGTATAGAGTTGTAAATTTTGCTCAGAGCTGATGTGAATCCAGGCTTTGAAATTGAGAGCAGAGTGTTTTTCTTTGACCTCTTTTCTGGGAACATGGAAGGAAAATGCTCAAATTTAGAGGACCTGAATGATAAATCAAGGGACAGAGAATTGTGGAGAACTAGGAAAGGAAGGGGGAATTGAAATGTGAGTCTGACGACATGAGGGAGATAGAGATCAAAAGCTGTGCAGAAGAACAAGATCTAGATGAGTAGAGAAGAGTGAACCAAAACCATGTCAGTAAGAAGTCACACAGTGGAATCTCTGATTTTTGTGTGATTTTTAAGAACAGTACTACAAGCACCATAAATAACTGACTTGCAGTAGATTTGGATCCTAGGTTTGAATGATTTCAGTGAAGAAAGTGTAAACTGTAAATAATCTTTTCCTATAGTTGGGACATAGTTTTCTTTGCCTCTTCCCTTGCTCTTCTCCCTTCACTGAGGATTAGTTGTATAAAGCACTTTGGTAACCAAACTAGATCAGCTGTGTCTGCACACTACTGCAGCATGACTGGAGTTGTACCAAGAGTCTGTGAGGCAAGTCTAAAAATGAGATTAATGTATCTATTGATAACTGTACTCCAGGTTACATCAATTTGAAAGCAGATTTAAAATAGGTTTCTATTGAAGCTGCTTCTCTTTTATAGTTATTTCCAGAAGATTCTCAAACAGAGTAGTTAAACTTGAAGGATCTTGGGGTTTTGGTAGTAAATTCTCTTTCCTTATTTAAAAAATACCCACCCACTAAACCAGGCTAGTGAATGTGGGGCCTTTTCAATCACTGTCATTATTTCGTTCCTGCTCCTTCCTTACTTGCTTCCAGGGATGTTTGTTCCCTTCCTACCCAGCTTCTGGTAAGAGCCAGTGGTGTGTAGGACACCTCTTGAGAGAAGTACAAGAACTTGCCATTTACCTGACTGCATTCCACACTTTATGGGAAGTGCATGGCAGAAGCTGTGGATCTCTTTTGTGTCTTCTAATGACAAATTTGGGATAGTAAGTGTTCAGATGCTTCAAGAGGGGCAATTTTAATTTACTGGATAGTGTTCTTGGACAGGAGACCTCAGTGGAAAGAGCAGCTGAAGAGGAATAGGAGAGAACAGGAACAGAACTGCAACTGATGACAGGTCTGCTTTAGGCATCCTTAGATGCATCCTGATTTAGTCATTCCCAATAAAGCTTGCAGATCTTTCTAATTTTTTTTGTTTCCTCAGCTTCTGACAGCAGTTAAAGTGTCAGTAGGAGCAGGATAACCACAGCATTCATCCTTCCCTTTTCTTTAGTGTTTTTATGCTATAGCATAAATTTTCAGTTTCAAATACTTTAAGAAATAACCAACTGTATGAGAAATGAATGGGGATTTCTTAGGAAAGAATTCTTTGTTACAGAAAATATCTTAATGAATAACATAAATAGGTAAAAATATAAATATTTTATAGACATGTTATATTTAGTGACTAGTTTTGGCTGTACTTGTGCTGATGTTTGTGTTTTGTTTTTCTATGAAGATTCGAAGGATCAGATTTTACTGAAGCGCTTCTCAGAAAGTAGATTTCAAAGATACTTGTAAAAGATGGATATGATTTTAGATGTGCATATGCAGAAACGTGCCCTAGTCATGTTTGCACAGTTATTCAGAAAATAGAAGTTATCTGATCAGCCACACTTGCCCAGTGTAATTTGAACTTTGATGTTTGTGATCAGTCTGTGGAAATTAATAGCATGGAGTATTTTATGTACTATGCATTGACACAGTGTATTTCTCCAAAACTGATAGAGCAATTAAAAGCTTAATTTTATTCTTAGGTTAAAGTGCTACAACCTCTGGATGTTCTTTCAGGCTTTTTCTGATGACTTCCTGAGGCCTTTCCTGGTGCTATGCATGGATCATAAATGGAGTTTCTCCTAGACAGGGAGTCACTTTGGGTGACTAAAAAGATGTTAAATATGATGAGCTTTCCTATCTGAATCCTCTTGATAGAAGTTTGTGCTTTAAATCTGAGGGGTTTGACAGTTTTGTTTTGTTTTCTTTCTAGATCGGGCCTTTTCTGAATTTTTGTTAGTTTGGAGGCACATTTATTGACTAATCTCTTGTCATTTAAGCTGTTGATCTTGCATTTCTTGTCTTCCTTTGTGTTACCAAGTGTATGTGTTGAGCTTTAGTGCAGCTTACCACCTAAGGAGCCTTTCTGCTGTGCCTTTTGCAACCAGACTTGTCTATCTTGCACTGGCCTCTTTAGCCCCCAGCGCGCTCGTAGCAAATGTGAGCAGAGCCCTTCCCAAATGTTCGTTCACCAAGCCCAGCCATGATGATGGTTGCAAAACAGAAGAGCTTTTACGTGTCTGTACGTGTGTGTGGGAAGTGGGTAAGTCAGAGATTGGCTGCAATTTTCACCTGTGTCCCTGCTCTGAGAGATGCTTTCCCAGCGTATGAACTGCTGGTTTCGGCCATGAAATCGTGTCTCTTGCTGGATTGAGTAGGGAATCTGAAAAGTGTGGTCTTCAAAGGTTGCAATTAGAGTGTGTGTAAACTCTGATTATGTTCATGCTCCATAGTTTTTATTTGCAGGTGGATGAACGTAAGCATAAACATTTAGCTTTTTAAAAATGCACTATCTTGCCTATTGCTGGTTTGGGATTTTTAATTAGACTGCTAGTTCCCTTCTTTCTTCTTTAGTATAATGAAGCAACTGGCAAAAAACCTACCCCTAGTGCTGTTTTATTAGAATATAATAGGGGAAGAGGGGAAAAATGGAGAATGATCCAGTAAAGTTGTGAACAGGGAGAGAAAGAAATAACACTTGAGATAAAAACAGAGGAAGTGAACCAGGGAAATCTTTGTAATGGTGGAGAAAACATGTCACAGAGTGAAACATGTCTTTAGAATGAACATTCTGGGACCCCTTTTACAGCTTAACACTTCTCACAGCTTTTTCCTGCTTAGGTCTCTCTGCATCTCTCTGATACCCTTTTGACAAAGGCTGCCTGTTCCTGGGCCCAGCTGCCACCAGCTGTCACTCATGTGAGAATCTGGACTCCTCTGTTGAGCATCCATCTGCTCATTAGTTATCCCCAGTTGCAAGGTCTAAAAAGAATCACAAGCAGCTTTTCCTGAAGAGCAGACAGAGCCTGCTGGGGCACAACACTTGCCCCTTCCTAAACAGGCCCATCTTCATTACCTTCCATGGCGCCTTCTCCCCCCCTGCTCCCAGGCATCGCGTGGCCGTGGCAGCCGCTCCTCTGGCACAGCGGGGCCGGGGAGACTGTCCCAGTTCCAGGGGCAGGGCTCTGCTCCTGAGGGAGGGTGTCTGTGGGTGCTGCACTTGCCTCTCTTCAGTCCCTCCAATGCCCTTGTTCTCACATGCTTTCTAAATATATCTGCTAATGGTTCTTTCATCTCATCTGCTCCTTCTTTTAGAAATGCAAGCTGCGTCCCATCTGGTCCCGGAGCTTTTGGCAGCCTTTGCACAATGTAATTTCTTCAGCTCTTTCTTGGTGTGAGTCTAGTTTCCTTCAGCATTTCTTCTTCCTTCATGGTAAATTAATCTGGTATCTGGTATCACTGGAGCTGGATAGTTTGGCAACGTGGAAACTATTTGTCAAACTTTGTGTTTTGGTTTCAGGTGGTCAGGAAACGGTAGCTGCAAAAATTTATTTTAGACAAGATAAACCCCATTTGAAATGTTTTTATTTAAAAGTAGAATAAATACTTGCATGAACTAATTAAAGCATTTTGGGGGTGATGGAATTGGGGATGAATACTTCATTCTTTGTGTAATCAAAACTCATGTGACTTCAGTATTGTTTTTGTGACAGATGGAAATAAATGCACTGTTACCCAAAGAGAATCTAATTATCCTGTGCTTGTTGAAGAAAAATACTTTCCGTGGGATTTGTTTGTCAGGTGAATTGCAGTTTAGATCCTGAGCTAGAGATATCTGCAATTGAGTGTTTGGGTTTCCTTGCTATAGATGCTATAAAATCAGCAACATTATGTATTCAGTTCTGCTTCAGATATATGAGTAGACGTTTTAGAAATCCTAAAGTTCACGTACTGATGATCTCCATCAAATTATTCTTGTGAGTCTTCCTTAGACATGTGTGTGCACTTTTTCTTTAAACAGTCAAAATTGCAATGAGGTTACATTAGAATCAAACTGGGAAAAAACCCTGTGCACATTGCAGCCTTGCCTCAGAAACTGTCTGACTGAGAATGCTCAGTCCTCTTCTGGAGCTGAGCAGTCGTGGCTTGCTGACCTCCCTTACCTGACAGGAGCCTTCTTCCTTAATGAGGAAAGGGGAAGTGTTCTGGTGTGCTGGGTTTCAGAGAGACAACACAGTTGTTCCTTAATGAGAATAATTGCACATGAGTAGTTAATTGCTGTTAATATTTTGGGACAGACAGATGCAAAGTATTGGTGTATGTGACCTTTCCTACCTGCTTCTCTCTAAGGATGTTTCTGCCAGGAGGGGCTGCCTGGGAGCCCTGTGATGCCTGTCCTTGGCAGCTGGACAACGAGAGCTTTTATTTCCTCAGGGAATTTTGCTACAGATGTTATGGAAGGTTAATTTATATGGAGTAGCATTTCACCGACACTTGCATGGAGGTGAATCCCTCCAGCAATGTGACACTTGCAAAAAGTAATGTATTGCTTAGATGGATGAACCTATTATGCAGTTGCTATGGAAGTGTAAATTAAGTCTTATGGAGATTTGTTTTAAAGTTACTAGACTACTCACACTTTAAAAAAAATATAATAATTTCTATTTACTGGTTTAGCTGGCTGTTTTGTTTAAATAAGGATTGTTTTGTTATATACAAAGCTAATTTAGAAAAATGTTGTCTTTCCTAATGTCCTAAATTTCTGATGTCCTAAATGTCATCCTCCTTTTCCTCTTCTGCTGTTGTCATGGAACATTTTTGAGAAATAATGTTTTATTAGGCAACTTTAAAAAAGTTTCAGTTTTTACTTCCACGGAGAGAATGTTTGAAAGAAAATTAAAGTTGTATGGCTGAGGTAGTTACAAGTTTAAAATCTGGCTTATGTGGTAAAAATTCTATTCAGTAAGCATTTATATTTGAAGTGTTTATGATCACACTGGATATCAACTCCAGTTTTTTCACCTGACTGTAGAGCTGGAGCAGTCATTTTTGAAGCATTTCAAATGGACAGAGTTTTAAGTAGCATTAAAATAGGTTAGTGCTGTTTGATTTCTTTCTCTTTCAAAATAAGACTTTTAACTTACATTTCATGTGCATGGATTTTTTTATTTAGGGAAGCACTGGTGCATAAATGGAAATGTAGTGATAAAAATTAGACAGCATGAACCACTATATAAAAACAACCTTTTTGTCAAAATTCTTTTGACTGCCTGCACGTATAGTAGAGATTTCCTGATTAGTTTTGTTGCAGTATTAATTGCAGGTCATTGGAGGATTCTTTTGAGTGCTTACTTTCATGTAGCAAACTTTGAATGAGGTTCTGTAGTGCACTGTCTGGTTGTTCTTAAAAAGTTAGATATGCTCATTAGAGCTAGTCAAAAGAAATTTTATCTGGAGAAAATGTAATTTAATTTATTAATTTCTGGGTTTATATAATTTAGGATAAAACAAAATATAATTTATGGTTCTTAACATAAAAGCCTTAAAATCTTTAACCTGATGCTGTGCCACACAACAAGGAATATTTCTGCCTATTTAATATAGAACATTGCTTTAGACCTAGAGAAAATATTTTCGTTCAAACCTTTATTTTAGTTTAGGCAAAGGATGGGGAATACTGAGTTAAGCAGATCTGAAATGCCAACACTTTTTCATTCAGTCTGTTCTTGGCAAGTGTTGAGAAATAATTTTAAAAGTGTTGTAATTTAATCATGAAAAAGAAATCTATTATGATATTGTTGTTTCTTCTGCACTTGCAAACCATTAGTCAACAGTGTTGGTTCGAGTGCCATTTCTGTTTAATAATTTTTTAAAATGGGCTTGTTTAAAATTATACTTGCATTATGTATTTAATTCTGTAATCTGTTAAATGAATTTTATCTGCCAATATTTTTTTGTTGTACACTTTATAGTTGAATGAATTACAAGGGCAGAAGGCATCAATAAAATCATGTGCTATGATCAGAAGCATAAAACAGCCTTGATAAGGAGCTTCAAAACTTACCTTGGAGTTGTGGCATCTAGTCCAAAATATTTATTTCAATATTTTTTAAATTGCTATCTGGTGGTATCTCTGTGATGCCCACTCCATCGTGCTAATAGATACAATATTCCAGTAGTTAAATATGTTTACTAAAAATCCACATTTTAGTATAAATTTGGCTGGTTTTCGCTTCCCACTGTTACTAGCTGCATATGCTTCTTTTTACTTACCTGAAGAGCTGAGTTTTGGTTTTTGTTCGTGGTAGTACCTTGTGTGGGCCAGGAATTTGAGGCAGAGCTGTGTAGGCATTTTATTATAGTGGACTAGGTAGAGAAGATCAATATGCTTTTAAAGCCCTTTTTTCTTGGATTAAAAAATATAACAGTTATCTCCTATAATGCAACTAGAGAAGAGGGGATAGACATTTTTAAGGTGTTTTTACATTTTTAACAGCATGAAGGCAAAATTTCAGTGTTTATTGCACAGAAAGCTGTATATTTACACAGGAAATCAAAAATTGTAATGTTTTCTGTTGCAAATCACAAACTCTAGTGTTTGCTAAAGTTGGTCGTTCTTTTGTTTTTCCCCTTTTACCTCCTAACAATTCAAAAACAAATTGTGAAAGACACAGTAAGAGTGAGGATTAAAGATTTCAGTTTTTCAGGTAATACAGTTTTAACTGTGCCTTTGGGAAATAAGGTGAAAGGAAGTCTAAAGATTTTTTAAAAAAATTGTAAAAACAAAAGAGAATAAATTACTTTCTTCACAGTTGTGAAGAAAAAAGCAATATTGAGAAACAAAAATGAAAGTGATGGAAAAGAATGGATGGGGACAATATAGCAACTTGTGTAAATCCTTTTGATTTTTTTGGTGGCATCCATAAATTTCAGATTATCTACTTTGGGACATTCTGACAGCAAGTGTATGGTTATATCTATTTAAGAAATGTGCAGTAAAAAATGTTCACAAATAATCTGAGAATACTGATAGTTTTCTAAAAAGTCAAGTTTTACTAAAGAGAGAACTACAAATAACTTCCTTTATAGTGGAGAGATAACCTGTTAGGATTAGGGCTTACTTTATTTTTTTTTCCAGTAAGGAAGGTCACTTATTTTGAGCTGTCCCTTGTAAAAGCGTGGGGGAACTGATTTTTTCATTCTGTGCAGATTTGTGTGGTGTGTCTCTTCACTGTGCATGTTTGGGACTGCAAGGATGAAAACTCACTCTTGATATACTCTACATAATTAAAGTAGTTCTCAGAAATGGAGTGAAAAGGGGAGCCTTGTGTGGCTCTGCCCTTCCTTATTCTGCCATAGCACAGGGCCAGTGCAGCCTTTTTTCTGTTGCTGCATTCTGCCAACTTTTGGAAGAAACAGAGAGGAATGAGTTGAGAAATTGATTGAACTATAAATTTGTTTCAACTCTTCTCCAAAGTTTTGGAAAGTATAACTCTTCCAGCACAGCAGGGAAAGATACCTACATCCAATGTTTGGGTATAGCCACAGAATAGTTGGGGTTGGATGTAGAGATGTCTTCTAAGAAACTGTGTGATTGAGGATTAAATAGATGTAATTGAGGATTAAATAGCAACTGGTAAGTTGTTTGCTGTTGCCATGTATTCCTGCAGTCAGATGTCCATCAGCCCTGTCGTTCACAAGTACAGCAAATATATTCCATTAAGCCTCAGCCCCCCCTTTGCATTAGAATTTTTCTTCTCTTTTGGTACAGAGCTGATGTGAAGACTTTAAATAGTTTTGTTTGTAAAGACAGAAGTTATGGGAAGGCCAGGAGAACCTCTTTCTTGTAGCCTGAACCTCAGAATTATGGAAACAATGAAATAGAAGCAGCAGATTAGAGTCATGAAGAGAATTAACTAGTTTATAATTACAGGTGCGAGATGACACCTCAAATTGTGAGTTGTTACTTCATTTTAAATCATTGCATCTGAGCAGAGCTAATTAGTTTTGTAGAATTAGTTTAGGACTATGGTAGCATTTAAGTAGGAAGTCCATTAACATTTCTTCTATAGAGTACTTTGTGTAGAATATCAGCTGTGACTTCTCCAATTAGTTCTGCTAACACCATGTCATAATAAATCAATTGGCTTTGCTTTTTGTTCGTGTAGTGATTCTTGGTGGCTTTGGGAGCTTAGTGATATTGATGCATCTGCCTGAATTCTAGGAATAATTTAACTTGTTTATGTGTTTAACTAGAAAGGTGAAGAACATACTGTAGTGTTAAAACAGCATTAAGATGTCACAGCCCTTCAGCATCTGACACTTAATTCTGTGTTTTCTTCAGCGTAAGTTTTTTCCCTTGATCACTGGGTTAACTGCATCACACACTCTTTCCTAATAATTCCATGCTGCTCCTGCCAGGATGTCGCACCGAGCTCTCAGAGCAAACATTTGGTAGCTTGCTTTCTGATGAAAATTTTAATGTGGAACTTAGATAAATTGACTTCATGAATAATGTATATCTAACTTCATCTATGGCATTTCATAGTGTGGTGTTGCTTCTCCATCACAGTCCACAATGACCACTCTTTCAAAGGGTTGCAGATATATTTGTATTTACCACATACATGTGCCAGTGTTAGAAAAGATTGATTTGTGATAAAAACATTAAGCACACTGAAGATATTGTTTAATGCTTGTTAATGTGGTAATTGATACTTTTATGCCTCCTTTTCTCTGTTGTGGCTTCCAGCGTGGTGGTAACGTCTCAAGTTGTGATAACAGTGGAACAAGTGTGCCCTAGGCCATCAGTAGAAGGCTTTTTTTTGGTATTGAGCTGAGAAGCATTAAGGAAGGAGATTGGAAATACTTCAGTTAGTTTTATTAGGATCTTTGTGCTCTGCAAAAGGCGAGGTAGTTACAAAAGACTTGCAAAAGAACTGAGTTTTCCCTTCTAACTCCATGCCCAGCTTAGGAAGTTCCTTGCCTGGGACATTGAGAAGTGAGACATAAACCAATCAAATTGGGAAGACAAGTGTGAGAGAGAACCTCAGTGTTTGATATGGGACCATGTGGTGGCTGCCACCTTGAAATGCAGCTTCTATAGAGAACATAATACTTAGACCCCCTGAGAAGAGCAGGAGTTGTAAGAGCCTGTTACATGATTTTGGCAGTGCTGAGTTCTTCTCTCTTGTCTTTGCCAGTGGCAAGAGGAAGAGGTTACCTTGGAAACTCCAGCAGAGGTTTCTTCATTAATGAATGCTGATATGGAGAAAGTACTGCAGATAGATAAACATGATGTAGGTTGCAGCCCTTGTTGTCAGATGTGATGCTTGGAAGAATCTGAAGCTGGCAGCTTAAATTTTTTAAAACAAATTCTTTGTCCTTTGGTTAATACTGTGCAGATTACAGGGTGGGGTTTTTTTGCCCGAAAACACTAAAAAAAACCCCAACAACCGTTTTGGATGTAAGGTTGCAAAAAATACTCATAGCACGTGCATTGACACCAGATAACATCTTGTGAGAACAGTGAAGGGTTGTAGACTGTGGCCATGCATATGGAAAAAGATGCAACAGAATTTCTTACTAATTTCAGATAATACACTCCTGCTCTCGCTGAGTTATGGCAGTGTCAACACTGAATATTTAAGGTGGCCACACATTGGGCACGTGTTTATTCTCGGCCTCTTATTGCTTGTGCCATTCCCATTCCCTACATAGATTTCTGTCTGCCCACACTGCATCAGGTTTTTTATATTTAAAGCAATAAAATTGTAATTAAGCTGATGGAATCGAGTTAATGATTGTTTTGACATGTTTTGAGGTGAGGCAAAAGGAGTAATTAACACAATGGGTAATTAATATGGAAGATGCTGCGTAAATTGTAATTGTTGTTTAAATACCAAGTAGTTATATATATCCAGAATTTCATTCACCTTTTTCCCCTAACTTGTCGGAACTCATGGTATGTGATATTGACAAATACTTCTCCTGTCTAGGATACCCATATCCTCATCAAAAGGGATTTAAATTGTTTCAAGATTACTTCTGTTTAAAAAAGAACCTTTTTAAATTCCTGTATTTTAGCAATGCTCATTAATAAAACCCATTAAATTTTCAGAATGTGTTATAAAAGTGGGAGATAAGTGGATTGCTTTGAAATGGCTGGAGGAAAGCATATGATAGTTGAGCTTAGTTTTGATTTAGTTTTCTCCTATAGTGCGACACTGAAGATGTTGTGAGATTAAATACCCTGCTCTAAATTATATAACGTGTTGCCATCTATGTAACTGCACAACAGGCTGGAAGTTCTTGAACATCTAAATTATATTTTTCCTTATTTGCCTCTTGCAGTGAATAATAATGGGCTGCTTGTTTTTTTCCCAGATCACCTTTTTCATGCTGCTGTCTGCAGTGTGTGTCATGCTGAACTTGGCCGGCTCCATCCTCTCCTGCCAGAACGCTCAGCTGGTGAAGTCTCTGGAAGGCTGTCAGCTGGTGAGTAATGAAAAACAAGTCTCTTACAAAGGGCAAGGATTTTATTTTGCATTTCTTAGGGTTTTGTGCACGCATTCCTTTGATTTCCCAAACATTTAGTAGGGCAATCTATAGGTATTACAACAGGAAAAACCATTTTGTGAAAAGCTTGAGGCTTGAAGTGCTTTGTCACCTCAAAAAATAAGTTTTAATATTAGAAATACTTGCTTCTTAGTGTCATGGTAACAGTAGTGCGTCAGCAAATAGGTGGAATACAGGGCCCATCAGAGCAATGCAGTGATTACCATTTGGTGTCAGCAGTACCAAGATTTCATCCAATAGCTCCTTGTAGAGGCACTGTATTTCACAGATGCACTAATAGTAATGATCTGGTGTATGTCTGCTAATATTTTATTTGCCAACCTAAATTAGTCCTTTTTTCAATTTCCAAAGTAAATGTATGTTATTTTTATTAAATAAAATACAGAATAATGCAAATTATCATGATGTGGCATGCTATGGCCTAAGTTACTGCAAGTTACAGTTTGCCTAGAGCCTTTATGTTTTGATCTCAGGAAAAAAGTACATATACTTTGAACTCCAATGTATTTTCTGATTCAAACTTACGAAGATGTCTACAGAAGTAAACTCATTACTGAAATCCTTGATTTAAAGTAAATAATAAAACAATTATCCACCCCTCCAACTTCAGGAGACAAATGACATTGAATTGTAAGATCGATAAATGGATTGGAGAATGTTTATAGATGTGCACCAGTGCTATTTTTATTATAATCTGTTAGTAGACCAATCAGTCTGTTTAAATTGGGTGACTATACACTCACGGGACTCATTAAAAATTAGAAAGACATACACATATGCACCCCAATATAGTTTTTATTTTGAGGAGTTTGGAAAAACAGTTTTTATTTTGAGGAGTTTGTTGGGGGTTTTTTACTGGGTTTTTTTTTCATTAAAAAAGAGTTGTCATAGGTATTTTTTTGTGGAAAATCTTTGAAGTGAGTTTTACAAATTTGTATTGGGATCCTTGCTTTGATATTAGGACTATTTAGAAGTACTTTGAGGGACTTCCCATGAAGGCTTACCAAAAAAGCCTTGTATCTGTGTGGAAGAAGGAATAAATAGCCTCTCAAAATGAATGCATTCCTCACTACATAATGCAACTATGTAACTGTATTTTGGGACCTACATGCTATAATTTTCAAACACAGCATTTTGACCTGGAGTGTCACTGTAATGAACAGCTCAGTCTCGTGTCTAGACATCCTGCTCTGCTGGTTGGTTTTCCATGTGCTTAAGCAGTGCCTCTTGCCACACCTCTCATGTAGGATTGTATCAAAGCCCTGAAGAGAAACAGGAAGGAACACTGGGATTTTGGAAACATGTATTTACTTCTTCCTTGCTCAGTAGCTCAAAGCCAGTGTACTTGGCTCATAAATTAAAAGGAAACAGTTACATTTCATTTGTACTTCCCTGACCTTTCCCTTCCTGCTGCAGATGGAATGTGCAGATTTTCCTCTGGACTAGTGAAACATTGATCTGGCTAAAGAAGATAAAACACAAGGGTTCAAACTGTAGTATCAATTTTCAGAGCATGCTGAGATACTAACTGGCTTTGCCACAGTGTGTTATACTATGTAAGGGCAATTTAATTTCATTGTGACTGTTTATCATAACTGTATAAAAAAAATACAGTTTCTTCTGCCCAGACCTTATTTTTAGGTTTTCCTTTCTCAAAATCACATTTCAGTCACTTTGGGACTTGCATGTAAATATTGCCGTGTTGAAATGCTCATATATATGAAATTCTAGAGTTCTGTTCTCATAGCCCAGCTGCTGAGAGGGAAGCTCTGCAGAGAGCAGCACTGCTTGGTGAGCAGGCACAGGGTGTGACTCAGAAGTTGGTGATACATTATGTGGAACATATCTCATTACTTTATTACCTTTTATCACTTTAAAAATCCCAGTTTCTTAACAACTTCTAAGTGTATATTTAGTTTTAATGCCTTAGCTGGCTCACTTTAGTGTTGTAGGTCTGTGCTTTCCCACTCTGTGTGACTGGATGTACATTATCAAATCTAAACCCTCTGATTGCCTTCTAGGATACAAATGTACTTTGTGGTGGTGCAGCTCTAGGAGTGAAAACTCAGCTTTTGCAGACATGTGCTTTGAGATGTAGTCAACATCCCATATAACTGCAACAGTAAATTTCCAAGCACAGTATAGTGAAACAGTCAAATTCAAAGTAAATTCTGTTTTAGTTGTGGTATTTCTGTCAAACTCATTCATGTTGATGTGTGGCTTTAAAAATGATAATAGTACCTACTGTATTGTGGAGTTTAAATTCAGCAGCATTTCACACATAGAGTAGTTATTTGAAGAAAAAGAACAGGGCACAATGGTCTTATTTTGCTTTAAACACTGGGGATTTATTGTACATTCCATAGTGTATATTTTTGTGTGAATATGAGAAATGTGCTCACCATATGTTAACATTTTGAATGTGTAATTTATGAAGTTAGTGTTTGTGCTCTTTATCCTGCAGCTTAGCAACATACAACACTGAGGAACAAAAAAATGCCAGTAGCTTTAATGACTTGTTAGGAGAAATTAATTGAAATTTTTTTCCTGTGATTAGCTGCATATCCTGCAGCCATAACCTCAAGATACTGATTTAAGTCCCTGATAGTAGGATGTGTACAGAGCAGTTATACACTCAAACTGTTCATTACTGTGTGTATCAGAAACATTCCTGTGTGGGAATTTCTTTTTCAAATAAGCGATCTCTAAAATTTGTGCTTAACATATATGGCTAGAGCAATCAATATATTTTAATTTATATTCTATTACTGCACAAGATAGAATGTGTTTTATTTTTTTGTCTTGTAAGTCACTTATTTGTTTAAAAATAAATGCTGTGGTTTTAATCAAATATACAGCTATTACTCAGAAAAGTAGTGATAGAGTTAAGCTCTGTATAAAAAGTTTCCTTATAAATTTTTTTTGTTTGTACAGCTGAAATTGGCCAGTGGTTATAGTAACATATAAAGGAAGACTCTTTTTTCCCCTCAATTATCTGTAGCTGGAATAGACAAAGCAAGGGAAAGCAGAGCAAGGACAAGTTCACATAGAGGTGAATGGCACTGCCCAGGTGCAGAGATTTCTTTGTGTTCCATTTTGTGTTGTACCTGCATTCAGGTCTGTGCATATTGAAACCAAATTTTTAAAATTCCAGGAAAAAAATATACTCTTTTTTGTTCTTATTTGTATGTCAGTTTTTAATCTTGATATTTCCCTGCCATGCAACTTTATTCCTTACTGGATTTTCCATTTCTTTCTCTTTGCATAAGTTACTCTAATTCACTGAAGTTCCTTCCCATAAGCACACCAGTGAGGCTTTCTTGTACTTCACTGCCTTGTTATCCACTTTGGAACTTTTATATTTTATTTTGAAATCTTCCTTCCTTTTATGTTCCCTATAAAAAGCCCTGAACTAAGAAAAAGTAAAATCTATTACTACCTTTACTAGAAGACTTGACTTACATTTGTCATAGGGAAATGGTAGAATGTGACATAACACTGTTAATTGCTCCCTACCTTAACCTTTTGGTGAAGTGTGTGCACACTCAGAGTCATTTCTTCTTTGTTAGGGCACCTCGAATGCCTTGACAGAATTTTATGAATTGATATAGATGAAAAAAGTAACACAGCACTATGAATGTGTGTGTGCATGTGTTTGTGATGAATCTAGAACGTCCTTTCGTTTTTTTGATTCTCTGCTACATAGAACTCAGATTGTAATGAGTTTTATCACTTTAGAGGTAACAGTACTGTTTTTTGGCAAGACGAAATAAACTTAAAAGGCAGTTTATGCATATAGGCAGCTCAGGCTGATGTTTGAAATCTTAAACATGGGTTGGATGAGAGTGGTACTTTGCAACTGTCATAAATATGAAAGTACCCAAACTCTACTACGATTACTGACTGTGCTCACTAGCATGAGTAAGAATCACAGTGTGGAACTCAAATAGATACAGGATGACAGGGGTTTGGGCAGGGGATGAAGTGAATCATGCTTTATTCTTGAGCCCTGCCAACCAAATAGAGATTTAAACACAGACAGCTTTGGAGGCACTGCTGATGTAATTGTGTCTGAGGTTGGCAAACACCAGCCCAGCAGCTGGAACAAGTGTTCCCAACTCCTCCCTGTTCCAATGCAGCTTTACTGTTAGTGCTGCTGTCTCTGTTTATGAAGCCACGTAGTGAATGGCATTTGAGGTCTGATCTGGACTAAAAATTAATTACCTCTCCCCCCTCCTCCCCAGCAGAAAAAAAAAAAACAAACCCCATATTAATTTTGACCCTGTTTAGGGCACAGAATAGCTGTATGAACTCTTGATCCTGCCTGTGCAAGTGTGAGACAGCGGTGGGGCAGGGATGAGCATCGTGGAGCACAGGGGCTCAGAAGTGCTCTCAGGGGCTGCATTGTTGAGGTCACATATGCAGTGACACGTTCAGCCTCGTGTCCTGCTCCCCATTACAAACACACAACTCACAAAGATGTCACTTCAGGAACATTGGAAGGAAAAAGTGCGTGATAGGGCAAGTTAAGAACTCCAGAAATAGTGTGCTTCCAGTCTGGTTGTGAATCTTAAGTGGTTTTGAATATGCTGTGATTCTTAAGATTGTCCCTGTGTTTTGCAGGAACTTTCACTTAAACAATTCACTTTTAACTAATTTTAAGAATTAAATTAGAAGGAGAGTTACTGGGCAGTACAAAGTTATGGAACAGCTTTCAGAATGAATTGAGAATGTCTCATAAGTGGGAAATCTTGACTGAGCCTTCTTAGCCTTATTTCTGTGACACCTGTTCGTTACGTGTGATAAAAGTAGACCTAGGATCTGTATTTCATATTAGAAGTGTCAAATACATACCACCATGAGCCAGTGACTGTCTTTCATTGAGCAGGGGCAGCACGAATCAGAATAGATGCTCTTGCAGTAGAAAGCTTTGCCCATATTCCTCATTATAAAAACTTTTTTCCAGCTGAAGCCTGTATTGATTTGCTCTGTGTCTGGTGTAGCCTTCTGGCCCCTGAACGTGGCCCAGCTCTAAACTCAAAGTCTAAGTGTCAAACTTCATCAGTAGCATTATTTATCTGACAGCAGAACCATTTCAGGAGAGGTTTGGGAGCAAGACCTCCCCACTGACATTTACTGGTTTCACTTGAGGAGCTGAGGTCATCTGATCGTAAACCAGGTACTTGGGTTTTCTTCAGATCTCTCACTTTTTAAAAGAAAGTATTAAAAGATTACAGGAATTGAAGATAAAACCCCAGTCTGAAATTGTTAAAGCAGCTTTGTGAATTAAATTGTATGTTAATTAGAAATAAACCCCACAACTATCATAGAGGTGCACAAAGTGTATTTTTTCTTTATTTCTTTTGCAGTGTCTATGGCATAGGGTATGACCAGTTTCTGTGAGCTGCCATAGACAATGATTTCCAGTGCTGCCTTTGAGAATATGGAAAATGGTGTCATTTACATACCCAGGTTTTTTTAAAAACCTTTTACAAATTGTACTGGCTAGAGGGCAATCTGGAGTCTCAGGCATTGAAGTCCCCTGAGGCAGCATCCTGCTGTGAGCATGCCTTCCTCCCAGACATGGCAAACAGTCATCTGCACCTCACCTGCAAAAGTTTGTTGTGTTTTTTTAATTGACTCTTATTTTTGCTCTTCCATGTGCTGTCCTGGTCACCAACATGTAAGGAGAGAGTATTAGATAAGCCTGATGGGGTGGCATTAAAACTACATATAATTAAATACATAACTTTTAAGATCATAGGAACAATTTAAACATTTATTGAGGTCTTAAGCAGTAAGTACTTACTGCTTTGCTTTGCTCTGTTGAAATGATTGTAGGTATCTGGCTATGCAAGGTAATTCTGCAAGGAATGCTGCTACTCGTCTTTGTTCAGGAAACTGGCAACATCCTAGGGAGAATTTGAGTTTAAAATAATAAACACGTATTTGCATTGTGAAATTTTTTTGTGGATTTGTGTCGGTAAATGTTAATTTTTTTTTAATGAAAAAGAGTGATTCAGATCTCTTACCACCCAGCCACTGTGCTTCTGTCTTTACTTTGAGGAATAAAGAACTGATCGGTGACTCCTTCGTATGTTTTCTGACCTCTTTCTGTTATTTTTTGGTTTTCCCTATTGAGTATGATTTTATGTTTATTCAGTTGAGTTACTCTGGTTTCAACTGCCATTGGAAAGCAAATTGTTTTCAAAATGAGTCATGAAAGGTAGCACTCTTTGCTATTGTATCCTCTTTCTGTATTTTACCTTGTTTTATACCTTATATTAACCAATGGAAAATATTCAGCTCCAAGATTTCTGCATAGATATTTTTATTTTGCATTTATTAGTCATTACTGTCACTGTAACTGTAAATACACATTTTGGGACGTGTGTTTCCCTTGATTTTTACTTTTTCTGACCTTTTTTTTTTTTCTCCACAGATTAAATTCGACAGTGACGGTGTCTGTGTTTGCTGTGAAATGCAGCACCAAACATCAGGCTGCAGTAACTTGGGAGAAACCCTGAAGCTGAACCCTCTGCAGGAGTGCAATGCAGTGAGGCTGACCCTAAAGGTGAGGCCCAAAGGAGAGGATAACAGTCTATTGCAGTTTTAACTCACCAAGGCAGAAGTGTCTGATGGAAGAAGTAGCAGTTGGTGTTCTCTGTGTTCATCCACTTTTACATGCAAAAAAGTGCCTTCATCCAGCAGAATGTGGTTCTTCTGTGCATGAATGATTTTACACACAATATCTGCATTTGTGTGGGTAACTCTCTTGTTAGAGGTTATTTAAGAAACAGAAGTTAGAATGGGTTAGGACTGATGCTGGAAGGGGCAAGAACAGGGATCTGTCATGTTGCTGTTCAAGGAAGGTGGAATCTGAGGTCATGGTGTTTATTCATGTTGTGGTAGACTGAAGAAACAAATCATTGCAGAATGATGAACTATTTCATGCTGTACTGCTAACTCAGAAGTAGATTACAAAAGGACATTACTTTGGGAGAGGACAGTGAGTGTTCTTTCTGGATAATGCTGGAAACATGCTTATAGACTGCTTTGCAATATTATAAGAAGTTTAAATCTTGCATTTTGTGTTACACATACCCAGATAAAAAATTGAGAGCAAATATTAAGAACACTGTATGTGTGCATTAAAGTTCAGTGTAACTGGCCACATCACTGTTTCACTTTGTTGACACCAAACATGGTGTTGTTTTGAAAATTAGTAAGGATTCAGTGAAAGAACTGGTCAGAAAAAGGAACCCCAGCCTAAGAGGCAGATATTGATTCATTCTAGGTTTAATTTAGTGATGAACAGAACTATTCTGCATCTGGGACTCTCAAAGTATGTATTTTAATAAAATTAACAGAAAATAATGGAGTAAAGTAGAGAAATTCAATGTGAGAAGGATCTTAGGGAGGTAGTTTATAGGGTGGGGCCTGAAAAAGCTAAGTTATATTGATTTTTGAAGATACAGTTTAAATTTCAGAATAGGTAGAAATCTTGTAAGAGGTATGCAGTAAATACCTAAATGTTCTTCAGCTTTGTTAAGAAAAAGAAAAAAGCTACCACCGAGTAATAAGGATCAGGTAGAAGTTAAAGTGGTTTTTTTATGGCCCCAAAATTAAGCAAGAACTCTGCTTCAGGTTTTAATGAGGATGATAAAGGAGACAGAGCAAGAACCTACTGGGTAGCAGGAATTTACTAAGTGGAAAAGAAGCATAACTTGACACAGCTGGTCAAAACCTAATAATGAAGTGCTGCTCAGGATGCTAAATTCAGGGCTGTGTTCTGTCATGCAGCCTCAGTGAAATGTGTTACGAGAAGGTAACTTCTCAGAAGGACCTTCCTCAAAATATGACAGATGCAGAAGCATGAACCTGTCATTCAGGAAAAGCTGACTGGCTAATTCCATAAAAATAAAGATTGAGGGAGCATATGGTTGCTTCCTGTAAATATGTCAGTAACTTAAACTTTAATATTAGAGAGAGAAAACAACCATTTACCTTTGAGGACATTGTCAACATATGAAGTGAGTAGAAGTGACATATGCTGAAAATCAGGGTAAGGTTTCTAACCAATACAGCAATCAGAATGCAAACAGAAAATATAATGTCTTTTACAGTGTAACTCAGTCATTTATAAAGGGAATTGCCATATCTGCTTATGCTTGAAGAGAATGGATTTAAACACAGGAGTTCCCATGAACATCACCTGAGTTCAATTTAAATTACATTTAGAAGTTTTCATCTAAGAGTAGTTAGGAAATAACTTTTTCAGAAAGTTTCTTGTATCTTTTTCAGTTTTAATTCTAGATTTGCTTTCTGTTTGTCTTAGAGAGCTCTCTATTGCTGTCTGTAAATTTAAGTACAGCATTCTACTAAGCTGATACAAAAGAAAGTTACAACTCATAAGGTAAACAGCTGGGAGTGATAAGGCTCACCCTCTTTAATTGCAATTAACAACTGCAATGTGATTTTAGGGGAACAGATGTTTAGTACCAAAAGCTCAATTGTGTTCATTGTTTGGGGAGCCAGAGGGAGAGAAAATGTAGAGAACCAGAGTTAAGATTATACCCCTTTCTGTATAACATTATGTAGGTTTCACGTTCCTTCTCTTTATTGAGAGTGAGGTAAAAAGCTCACGTTTCTGTTAAGCTATCTCTGGTTTTTTGGTGGGAGCAGCTGTGGAGCTGCATTGTGAACAGAACAATTGTGCACGTATCACCTGTCTGATCTTGTTCCCAGGCAGCCAAACAGGACAAGGAAAAACAACAGTGGCTACTGGTCTTGTGTGTGTTAAATTGTGCTGGGATCATGCCTGGCATGATGTTGAGTAGAGGCTTTTATAGTTGCTTTGAAAAATCTCTAGATTTCTTTTATTTTTTGTTGTTTCTGCTCTGAACCATCTCTTCATGCTCCTTTGTAAATCAATCCTTCTTCCTTCTTCCTTTCAAACCCTGAATAAGCTACTGAAACCAATATCTATAGTCACAAATATATACATATGAGTATACATATATACATATATGTGAGTACTGATTGCAAATGCTGACTGATCTATGAGAGGAGTGCTAATTTCTGTGATTGTTTGAGTAGTGGAATTTCAGCACAAAATTGTATGTTACAGTAAAACGGACAAAACCACTGCCATTTCACTGCTGTAAAGGTTTGGGGCTCAACCCATTTCAAGGATGGTGAATTGGTGGGGTTGGGGTTTTGTTTAGAAGGTATCATACTTGTAGTCTGGTCTGCACACCTCCAGCACCAATAGCGCAGTTACACGATGTGCTGAACTACCCAGAAGATCTGCAGGCACCCAGTGTGACCCGTCTGCCCTGGTTTGTGATGGAGAGACTTTCTGGTTACTGTTTTTCACTAGAAGATGCGTTTGCTGCACAGTTTCCTGCAATTAAGGGGTCCTAAACTGCCCCTGGAAATAAGGTTCCTTGCTTTCCTCTGGATGCTCAGGGTCAATAATCTGTGCTGCTGAAGAATGTCAATGTCTCAGTGTCTGGATTTTTTACAGTAACCACACTTCTAGAACAGTTCTATCCTGTGTTAGGAAGTTACTTGATTTATTTCAAGCCAAATGAAAGCAAAAGCGAGTCCTACATATTTACAGAATTAGTTAAAAAGGTTTATTAAGAGTCAGATATACAGAAATGAAGTGATGGCTCAGATGGGATGGCTTTCATTAACATCAACATAATCTGTTTTTCCACAGTAAATGTCTCGGTTTATGGATGAAATTTTAAGGAACTGAGTTTTTATTGTAACGTTAATTAAAGTGTGAAGACTGAATTTTTCTGACAGCTTTCATCTGTGACAATTATTTCTTCTTTCTAAGCTCAGAGTATTCTGAACTTGTTAAAGACATACATGCAATATTTCGAGAGGGTGAAGTTAGGTATTTGGAAGTTTCAATTATTTTGTAATGTACTATTGCTGTCTGATACTTGCATGTAAGAGGAGAATGTTATGCTGCTTTGGTTTAGTAATGATCCAGCTGAGTCTTTTCAATTACTTTTAACAGCTTACTCAGTCCAGAATACCTGCAGACATTTGCTATTTAAATAATTGCTTTCTCCTTTACTTAAAGTGCATCTTTAGAATGGTTTTGTGACTACAGAAGCAAAGAGAAAAGCTGATTCACTCCTCTGTGTTCAGCATAAATATTTGGCTTGGAGCTGCAGAAATTCAAGTACAATATAAATAGTAAATGCCCTTTCCAGGTTACTGATTCTATTCATTAGTTGTAAGCTAGGCATCATTATTAGAGATTTATGTACCTCACAGTTCTTGCAGTCTTCTGTGTGAATCTTCCCTTTCCTCTCCTTTGAATCCAAGTTTATTGTTACTGAGTTTGTTGATAACCAATCCTACTCATATATTTAATTTTTTTTCCATTCAGAACATGCTTTCACTTGCACAGCAGAGAAGGATGACTCCTAACATGTTCCTTAGAGTTATGAGAACAGACTTTCCTCAAATTTGCTGTATGACCAAATGCAATATTTTAATTTTGGTGAATGACTTGCCTGAAAGACTTCATAATCTACTTAAACTTAGATAAAGCTCAGTATAGAATGAGTAATTTCCTGTCGGATTTTTATGCTGGATTTGTTTCCCGTTGCTTTACAGGTAACTGAAAATACTCCCTACACTCAAGTGTATTTCCCACACCAGATACCATCAGAAATAGAAAACTTCACAGTGGGCTTTGCAGTCTGAAGAGTTGCTCTACTTTTCCTTCCTCCAAAGTTGTTTTGTTCCTTGCTTGGGCAACAAGTGGACATGGTTGTAAACCTATTCCATGGCTGAAAAGCTGCCTCTGTGAATTACTGGAATCTGTTCATTACATCCTTGTTCTTTTGTGGAACCTTAGTCTTTCAGGAGTCTCCAGCTCTCACGTCTCCAATGCTAGATTTATTGCAGGCACCTGAGTTCAAAGACATGCAAACTCTCATGCAGGCAGAGCAAACCTTTTTGAGTTTACTGTTCTTAAGTAGCAGCTATGCACTGCTCCCTTAAAAATATAGTAAATATTTTAGATGCAGGTGAAATAAGGAATTTTATTATACTTTCATACCTTAAATCTATCTTCTGAAGTGTTGTCCATGTCTCCATTTACAGTTCAATGTGTGTTTGAGACCTGTATGGTTCAGAATTGATTCCTGAGTCTTCCCTGTAGTAGAGCAGCTATTTTTTCCGGTGTTTTTCAGACGTATCCGATGAGAACAACTGAAGTTATAATTTGAGTTAAAGGATTGTTGTCCTTGAATTCGTGAATAAAAGAGGTACACTGACACTAATTTCATGGATGAAAAAGCTTTACTGCTCATTATGTCTTCTCAGGATACAGTAGTATGAGAAACGAAGCACCATAATTGAAGTCAATCAAGGAGAAAAGAAATCATCTGACAGAATTGCAGAAGTGAAGCTGGTTTTAGCCATTGATCGGTGTGGATGTTTAGATCCATGTGTTCAGGGCTACTGATTACACAGTGTTCTTTTTACACATCAGTGAGCTTATTTTGCTCCTTTTATTGTATATTGACTGAGGTCTCAAAA